ACAAAATTTGTGCAGGAGATTTCTTTTTAATTCAGTAAACTAATGGTGACTGGATCCATTAATATTCAACTTTTTTTTCCAGAAGGTTAAAAACACAGAAAAACTGTCATTATTACTAGCTATGTTCTGTATTGTATGTAACATGGCTATAAAGCAGCTGGTAATAATACAGTGCAGAAATCATTTCACATCTAAAGAAAAATAATTATAAATAACATAATTTTAAAATAAATTTAAGGTAAATCAGATCTTAAAAATGAAATAAAAACAAATTGAAATGACAATCATCTTGGAGACTAATAATTTTAAGCTATTATAGTAGATGATCTTAAGTGAAATTCACACATAATGGGGGAGATGGCAAGAAAACTTTTCCTAAAATATTTTGAAATGTTGCTAGTTTTTGACTTTAGAAATCTGTTGGATTAAACGTTTGTAGATCATGTAGAAGCAGTGAGTATATACTTACGAAGGGGAGATTTCAGAGAACACAGGAGGCAAGTGGTGTGGGCAAGTAGGTAACAGGTCCAGTGTGTGGGTCCCTGCCATCCATGTGGGAAATCAGGATGACTCTTGATCCTTGGCTCCAACCTGCCTCAGCCTCTGCTACGATAGCATCTGGGGAGTGAACCAGCAGACAGAAGGAAGGAAGGACTCTCTCTCCCTGTAGTCCTTTCAAATTAAATTAATCTGTATTTTTAAAAAGTCACAAGATTTTCATTCACCTAACACAATGATGACAAAAATGTAGGAACTGAAAGCAGCTAGTCAAGTATTTGGTTTTCAGAATGACGTCTAATACAACCAGCTGACTCCATGTGGAGTGTCCTGGTAGTCGCCTCTACTGTCTACCTGTGCAAATACTTATCTCCAAAAACAAAGCAAAACACAAAATCTGGACACATGATTAAAATGTTGAATATCTTTAGGACTTGAAGTTCCTAAGTGGTATTCTGGCTGGCAAATGTGTTTTGCTTAGGGAACTGAGCCCTATAAGATATATGCTTATCTATGTATGTACGTGTGTGTATATGTATCTCTCTCTCTCTTTATGCATACACATACACACAGATGCACACACACAGAAATGTAAAGCAGTGGTTTATTTTTGAACAAAATGTCAGCATAGATTGGTCACACTACTGAGTCTACAGGCCTCCTCTAATCAGAGCCCTTTCCAAGGTTCATACCCTAAAATAACCCAACACAAACCACAGAAAATCATAAAAAAATCAAATCTATCTAAGAAATTAAGCACGCTGAAATATTTTAATAGTTTTAAAAGAATTTAAAATAATTCCTCTAAATACCAAAATCATATGATTACTTCTAAGATCCTGATAAAGAAAAAGCATTTTTTGTGGTTGTTATTGATCAAAAACTGACCATTTGGATAAGCAATGAACTCTGCTCTCAATGCTTAAGGTTTTCATAAGTCAGGCTCCCCCAAAGGTTTATTAATTATAAAACATGGCAAGCTTACATTTCATTATAATTTGAATGTTCCTTATAGCCCAACAGGACTGGAACTTTCAACTGAATGCTTAGCCTATTATATTTCTGCTCATGCAGAATAACTGTAAATAAATACATTTTATATATATATATGTCAGTAGTTATTCTAGTATATTTATTCTCCAGAACAACTTTTTCACACAACGGAGACAATGGATTAACAGAAATAAACAACTGTTACCCTAAAAGAGTTTCAACACACATTGTTATATAATAAAGTCACAATTCAGAGGAAATGCGTTTTAGAATTAAATCACGATTTTAATCATAATGTGCAAATCATAATAGAGAGGAGGGATGCACTGAGGTTCGGAAAAGTTTATGCTCCTTCCTTGTTACATGTGCAGAAACTGCTAGTCCACCATCAAACATACCATTCCACTCACATGCTGCTCTTACACTGAGATAAAGCAGATGCAAATCAGTCCTTTATTGTTCGGGACAGTAGTTCAATTGATGTGATTTACAGGGGTAAAGAAGCACTGTTTTCACATTTTTAAAATTCATTTCCAAAAGGCAAGTAGGCTTAATTGTTAAGTACCTGACCTTTGGGGACAAAACAGCAGACCTACCTTCAGTTCCAGGGTAAGTCTATTCATCTCCATAAGACAAGAGTTTCACAAAATGTAAGACATAGCAGGTGTTAAGTTATTTAACAGAACTCATAATTTAAATAATTAAAACTAATTTGGGTTTAAAGCTATTTGCAGATTTATTAGAGAAACAAATACAAATATGCATTTCTACAGAACTGTTTTTTGTTTTTTTTCCAAAATGAGCTTAAAATTTGTTCCACAGTTTTTACTTGCTTATATATCTATGTTAACCCAAGTATTGGCTTCTGTACCACTTGTAATGAGACAATTGCCCTTCCATTACGATTATAAAAAACTATTTAAAAAAAAATTCAGCACATACATGTTAAATATTTTTCTTTAAAAAAATAATCTAATCAAAATATTGAATACTTTAGATTTAAACAATATTTTATTTACAAATTTGATTTGATGTACTTTATTAATTATACAAGGTAATGCTTCAATTTTCAAGAACATTTTGTTTATATAGACCAATGGAATGACATCCTATCTAGTAATATGCACTATACTTCAATTTTTTCAAAAATGAACATGACAAATTTTCTAATGCTTTCATTTTTGGAAGAAATATTATTTAATTGGGGAACATATCTGATGAAACGAAAAGTAACATGCAGAATTCCAAAAAAAAAAATAATTTGTTAAAGTAATACGATACTTACCCATTATGTAAAAAGACATCTATGAACAACAGTGCATAACAATATTATGTATTCATGTTTATGAGAAACCAAGCAGGAGGCAAAATGAGTTCATCTTGTTTTCTAATCATGTGCAATTTCATATGGCTGTTTGCATCATTTAAATAAAGTGTGTACATTAAATTCATAAGACCACATTGCACTTAAAATTATTATGGATAGCCATGCTTGCCCTGTTTTTTATGAGTGATGAATTTCTCCTACTAACAGAGTAACCGGTCTCAAATTGTGTCTGTCGTGTAAAGAGCATTAAATTATACTTTCATCTTC